AAGTCTAGATTTGGCATGGATGTGAGATGCCGCAGAGGGAACGAAGCGCGAAAATAAAATGGACGGATTAAGATCAGGAGAAACGAGTAGAAAAAGGAGCATGAAAGGGATGTTAACTGTATAACTATATTATCACTGTTATCAGTATAACAGATTTTCAATAAAAAATTCAGGTAGCGAACACAGTCAGATCGCGTAAAACATACATTTCCAGAAACTGGCAGGAAATCGATGTTTTGTTAAATTTGTAGCAGATGCCATCAAGCAGCTTTTTTCAAGTCGCTTTTGTATTTCTTCTGCCGCTGTATCCACATATGAGTCAAGAGATATTTTGCCACTAAAAAAACGACAGATAAAGCAATAAAACACATTTTCAGGTCAAAACCACTCGCAAAATGCAAAGCAAAGTAGATTGCTTTCCACAAAAAAAGGGGAGGGGGTATTTCGATTTTGCGCTGCTCTATCTTTGCTGCTTTTGTTTTTACAATTTTTTTTTGTGTCTTCGAACAGGAAACTGAAAACGTGAAGGATGGAAACTTTGAAAATTGAAACTTACCAAAAGGAAATACGAAAAATAAGAAAATTCCAAGCGCAACGGCGAAATTGAATGCAAAATTTGCTGGATTTGGTAACTCGATACTGTATCTGTCGGTTCGATAATAGTACGGAAGGACACGATACATTGTTATTCCTGCAGAAAAACACTGGTGTAAAAACGAAGAATTTCCCCCTCCTGTGCAAACAAAAAGTTTTAATAAAAAAGAATGAAATAAAGAACAAGGAAAAAAGATTGTAAGTAACGAAAATTAGAAAATTTGCGAGATTATTACAATGGTAAGAAATGTTTCGGCCCATTAAGTCATTCCAGCTGCCATTTTAGAATCTCAGCCGCATTAGTACAGAGCTACCAGACGCCTTTATAATAAGAAACCGGGGCCTGTTGCTTTTCTAAAACCCTCGAACTAAACGATTTCATAACTTTTACTACAGCTTTACACAGTCGTAATCAAGATCAACATGATAACCACGGTAGCACTAACACAAGCTTTCTCCACGTATTTTTTCTCGAATTTCCTGAACATGCGACGCTCTGAACTTCTGGCATCATATATAATGACATCTAATCAAAAAACACTAAAAACAATGGTCTGGTACGAACCGCAAACACACCGCAACAACTTTTGCGAGGAAAAATGATATTTTTTTTTCTTATGGCCAACTGTAGAGGCGATTACAACTAAGAATAATGGGAAACCGGTGGAAAAAGTAACCTTCAAGAATCAAACCGAGCGGATAAATTGGGATCCAAGCATTGTATCGTAGCCAAGTCAGTAAATTTACTTTAACTTCAAGACTGGATGCCGCATAATAAGGATACCTGAAGCATATTTAACGAATTTTAATAAATATTTTCAACATTTTCAATTTTAATAAATATTTTCAATATTTTCAACAAGTAAAAAAAAAAAGAATTTATAAAAACGGTTGAGTGTAAAACCTCACAACTTTAACAGGGTCAATTCAAGGCCTGCATAACGCAAATTCCTGAATATGTTCAGTGTCTGAATTAACAGATTTTTTTAAATTTGATTAATAAACAAAAAAATTCAGTTTTTCCTTCCTTGCTCCTCACTGCCTCCATTCCTAACCCATTTTTTTCCTTTTTTCTTTCTTTTTTTTTTTTACATTAATTCCTCTTTAACTACTAATAACTTTCAACTGTTCGATCTATGTATACAGCTGAGGGATGAAACACAGACTGCGCCATAAAACGTCTCCACACACATGACATTCAAGTGAAATCCTTCTATTCTTCTATTTCAAATACAGCACTTGGTTAAACCATAAACTCTTTTAAGAGTTTTTTTTAAGCTTATATTCGTCCTTAAAATAGTTCTTTATTTCTCAGCTGATTCGCATAAGACTCCTCTCATTAAGTCCTTAAGTTAGTCTGTAGTATGTTACTTAACACGCAAATAATTTTGGCGCCTCATCACAGCGCAAAGTTTGCTACTTCAAAATATTGTAATAACCGTCCTAAAT